AAAAGAGCACAGAATGTCATGATTTTAGCTCCCTGCCACTCTTGGCCACGCCCACTTTTCTACTGCAGAGCAGAGATCAGCTGATCAGTTGCAGCTGTGGGCTGCACACAGGTGCTAAATAATTTAAAATAATTTATTTGAAATAAAACTTCCATGTGTGCGCCTCATCCATCAATCAGCCAATTGTGTGTCATGTCCAATCTTTTTTTTTTTTTGTTTGAAAAACCGCGATAGAGCGAGTCTGGAAAATACGAACTGTGAAGTAGTGTGGGATTATACACTGCATGAAAATACCAACAAAACCACACAAGTCTTGTTTTTGTATATGTGATTGTGCCACTGGTTCTGTTTGAAATTTAAGCAAAGAAAGCATTGGTTGTTGAGCAATAATTTAAAAGGTGTTTGTAAAAAAAAAGAAAAAAAAGAAATAGAGCTGGATTTTATTATTTATTTATTTTTCACATTAACTCTTGGTCGGTGCTTTAACTGAGCTTACAATACACCCAAGTAACCAAATCCAAGCGGAAACACGTGTAAGTTGTCATAAATATTTGATAATGTCCTGACAATCTGATTAGCGCTCCTTTGACTCACTGAGAAATGTAAATATTTCAAACAGGGTAAAAAAAAAAAAAATAAAAACACAAAAAATTATATGCATTTTATGGTTGCTATATTTATTTGTCACGGAATTGCTGTGAGTCTCGACACTTTGAGATCACTGAGCTAGACGTCAACCAGCTCAGTCCAATAGATTGAAACGTATGTGAACATCAGATTATTATTTTTTTTTATATCCTTGCTTAAAATACTGTACATTAAAAAAAAAAAAACATGTAAATACACAACTTTGAGCAGAGTTACAATCATATCTGAAAACTGGAACGACTTACGAGATGGAAACCATCAGTAAGGACTCAATGTGTGTTTTATGTTTTTTTTGGGGTGTATGCAATATGTTTCTCAACCATTTGGTGTTTTAAATCATTATGTCACGCAGTCAGTGCAACATGTGCACGTTGCTTCAGTATAACTAATTAGG